CGGGGTGGACGGGCGCGGGGGAGCCATCGCGGCCGGGCCTGGGCCGTCCGGATGAGCGCTGAGAGGTTTGGGTCCGGAGAGTTGGAACCGCACTTCTCCGCGCTAAGGGAAACTCAACTCTGGCAACTCCGCCTGTAACGCGATTGGGAGATAGAGGAGGTGGAGCTGCTCCTCCGCGCCCCCTCCTCGCCGCCGCGCGGGGGACCGGACAGCCCCTTCCCCGCCCTCTGAGGACCACTCGTGGAGTTCTTGTTTCGCCGTCCCGGGGGAGAGGGAGCAGGTTCGGGGCAGAGGCGAATGGGGAGGTCGGGGCGTCCCCTCGTAGTGAGAGCGCTTCCAGGCTGCGTGGTGCGGGGCTGACAAAGGCGGACCAGGATCCTGCCGCGTACCCGCAGAGGGGACCCCCCCCCCCCGCTTCGTGCCCGGGCACAGACGGTGGGTGATTGATGAGCGCTCCTTGGGTCCTCGGGGGTGCGTGGCCAATGGTGGATCTCCCCATCCCACCTTACCACCCAGAAAATGGGGCAGGCGATCTGCTCCGCTTCCCTGTCAATAAGTAACTTGCCACTTCGGTGGATCCTGGGATTGAAGCTGGAGGGCAGAGAGGAAAGGCCAGTTACCAGCGTCGTCCACATGGGCTGAAGTGTGGGCCCGCTGTAGGCGTGGAAGGGCAGAATCGGTTAGTTTCTTCTGGTGTAAGGACGTTCCAGGAAGGCTTGGAAGGTACTTGCTCTTGCTAGACTAAGTTAGGCGACTTCAGGCCTAACCTGCTGAAGAGGACCGGGGTGAGGTGGGGGAAGGGGGGGCCCAGAAGAGACACAGGGCAGGCCTGGGCGCAGGTGGAGTTTGACTTTGGCAGTGAGCCTAGGCTAGGCTGGAGATCTTGGGAATGGGCAGAGATCCTGGCTGTGCAGGTGAGGGATGTGAGACCTGGCTCCCAAATCAGCCTGTTCTGACCTCTAAGAAAAATGAGATAGACACCCTGCACTGAAGGAGGTCAAGTGGCTTGGTGAGCTCAAGGCATGGCTCTTAAGGCTAAGCAGCTGGGCTTTCTTGGCTGTAAAGTGGGGAGTTCTTTTAACACTCAGGTAACCAACCTATGGTCTGCAGCTAATTGCTGAAGCCTCTGAATCAAAACTCACACTCCCTGTCTGTAGGGAACTTCGAGTCCAGAGTGGGAGGGTGGAATAGGGAGAAAAGTGGCCTTGGCCGGGGAGCTGCAAATGCCAGGCACATACCACGTCTTGTTTAATCCCCAGAGAGCCCCTGCCTTCTGTTGTTCCAAAGGGAACTCTGAGTCTCCACGAGCTGGGGGCAGAGCTGTTGCTCCGTGCCAGGTGATCCATCCATTGAATGGATGGCTGCTGGGAGAGGCTGGTTGGGCTTAGGGGTTAACGGGATGCAGAGGGAGTGGGCATTCCACGCGGTAGGAACAGCCTGGGTGAAGGCATAGATGATTGAAAGGCCTGGGGTTCAGGAACGATGAGCATGTGTGGGGGTGGGAGGGGAGGTTTCAGGAAGTTTGACCCCTTTCACTCAGGTCATGGGGTATTCCAGATGCCCTTGCTTAGGGAGGAGGAGCTCATGAGGTGGTGAGGGATAGAAGGTAGATTGGACGGGCTAGGGGCTACTCTGGCCTGTGGCAGAGTTTAAGTGACATACCATGGCATGGTGCCCGACATGAAGGAGAAAATACCACTGCTTTTCTCCTTTCCTCCTCTCCCCGCCCAGTGCCCACTCCTACCCTTGGTATGTGGGGAAGGGTGAGGGATGCTGGGGCTAGGCTCACAGGAGGACTGTTCTTGGACAAATCTGATAGCTCTCCCTCCCTCCCTCCCTGCCCCGGCATGGTCCAGGGTGGCTTAGCCCCCTGGCCTCCTACATGGCTCGAACTGTTCTAATCCCATCTCTTGTTCTTCCTGGGGCAGTGAGGGCTCTCTGCCAGCTGTGATTTTACTTTGGGGAAGTGGTTTGGTCATTGCTGCCTGAGGACTGGAGAACCCTGGCACTTGGTAGCCTCTGAGCAAATATTTGTGAGCCCACAAAGGAGTGAATGCTCATGCTCGGCTAGCTCCAGGGACCCTCTGCCCCAGGCGTGCCCCTGGGCTTGAGGTGGCAGGAGGGTGTGGTCAGAGCCTCTGCCCAGCCTTGAGCAGGCCATCTTCCCACAGGGAGAGATTTTCTTTCCTCATCCCTTAGAAACAAGGTGGGGGGCTCCTGGGCAGCCTGGCCTTGCCCCACCGCCCTGGGCTTCTCGCTTGGTTTGCGACTCTCTTGCCACCCCTGCCCCGCCACCCCCTCGGGTGGCAAACAGAGGCAGCCTTGTTCCTGCTCCCATAGAGCTGCCCTGTTCTCTGCACACTAAAAATGGAAACCCCCAAGCTATTTTGGGAGCAGTGCCCAGTCGGGCTTTGGCCATGGCCCCCCTGCTCTCAGGCTGTGGCCATGGCTCCCCTGCTCCCATCAGGGTGCTGGACCCTCCTCCGAGCCCTGACCCCAGCTCTGTCTGAGGGCGGCCGTAGGAGTACCCCTCTATTTCCTCCACTGGGATGAGCTGGCCTGGGCTGAGGAAGTCCCTAAGGACAGCCTGGCAGCTGGGTGGTGGCAGGGTCCAGACAGTGTGGCCTGGGTTCGGGCAGGTAAGGAGGGTGGGAGGTCCTAGCCTGGGATGCCTGGCCTGTGGCAGCACTTTACTACCCTTGGGACTTCTGGCTCGGACCAGTGGGGCTGGGCAACATGGTAGTTTCTTGGTCAGGTGACTCAGCTGAGGCTTGTAAGGAAAGGTCTGTGAAGAGGGCAGACTCCGCTCCCTCCCCTCCCATGGTCTGGGGAGGTCCTGTGGATGTGGCATGGTCAGCTTGGTGACTTCCTCCAGGACACCTCCTTCTCCACCCCTCCCTTCCACTTACCCCATGCACTGGCTTTGCTGTGACTGAGAGGAAAGGAAATAGCAAGTGCAGGCCTGGTTTCCACGGTCCTGTGGGACTTGGGGCTGGAACCGGAAGGGTGCATGTGAGTCTGTATATGTGAGTAACTAAGCATCGATGATGGAGTGTGGGTGTCTGATGAGTTCTGTGTGTGTGTGTGTAAAATGTATTCTCATAGCAGTGTTTAAATATGTTTGGTGTATTTGAATGGTGTTTGTATCTATATATGTATCTCTCTGGTATATGTACATCTTACATCCACACACACTTTGTGCAAGTGCCCATGTGCTGTGTGTGAGTATGTGCATGCAGGGTGTGTGGTGTGTGTGCATCTCGAGGTGAGTGCTCTGTGTGTATCTGCACATGTGCTGGTCATGGTTTGGGCTGGGACAGCCCTTGGACTTCGGGGTGGGTGGGTGCTAAAATGGGTGGAGATTGGGCAGAGGGTGGGACTGAGTATTGAGATGAAGGGGATGTAGGGGGCAGAGGGAGGGCACTGTGATGGGAGCCTGGCAAGGCTCTGCCAGCCAAGGGGCTTCTTTTGAACTGCCCTTTCCCAGGCCCCGCGGGTGCCTGGTTCCGCTGCCCTCCCCCTCCATGTAGGCTCTGAGGAGGCGTCCCCTGTGGAATGTGTTTGGTGGCTGACGGCCAGGCTGGGCCCAGCTCCACCGGCAGGCTGGGCAGCGGAGAGGGAGGATCTGTCTGCCTCCACAGTGGAGCGCCCGGTGCTCCCACATGCTTGTCGCCCAGCCCCCAGCTTCATGCTCTGCTCTCTCCCTGGCTAGGTGACTCCCACACAGGTCATGCTGTTGTCTCCTGACCCAGCCGGCCCTGCCAGGTGAGCCTGACCTCACACCTGTGAGCCGTGTGACTGGGGACTCACCAAAGTGGGGTCCAGATGTCCAAGCCCCAACCGAGCCAGATTCAACCTCTTGTCTTCTTTCTAGACTGCCAGTCTAGAAGCTACCTGTCACCAACTCCTGCCCAGCTCCTCTTCCTGCCCAGAAAGTTAATATCTGTGAGCAGAGGGTCTCTGGTCTCTCCTCCCTGGCATCTAGGCACCTCCTTCCCAGGAGGCAGCTGGGGATGGGATATTAGCAAGTCTCTGGTCATGCCCCCCAGACCCTCTGCCTCTGATCCAGTATAAGGAGAGGGGAGGGTGGACTACAGCCCCTCTGACAAAGGTGTCTGCTGAGAAAGGGCAGTATTCGGTTCCAGAGAAAGACCCTTGCTCCTCACTCCCTGTAATTGTCAGCCTTGGCTGTGGTCCTCGTCTAAGCCAGAGTCCCCTGCCCACTCCCCTGTCTAGGTGATAGTGAATCTTGGCTGGGCTGCTCAGTACTCCTATTATCCATAGCCCTCTCCCTCACTGATGACTCACCACATTTGGGTGGGCACGTGAACCCTTCTCGACCTCTCTCCCTGCCAGGTGACCATGCCTGCCTTTGGCCCAGCTCTTCTTCTGGTGCTCTGGGCTGGGTGGGTCCTCACCCTCCAGCCCCCACCCCCAGTTGCCTTCAACCCCAACGGCACGCATCTTCAGCACTTGGCACGGGACCCCACCTCAGGCACTCTCTACCTCGGAGCCACCAACTTCCTGTTCCAGCTGAGCCCGGGGCTGGAGCTGGAGGCCACAGTATCCACCGGCCCAGTGTTGGACAGCAGGGATTGCCTGCCCCCTGTGATGCCTGATGAGTGCCCGCAGGCCCAGCCTACCAACAACCCGAACCAGCTGTTGCTTGTGAGCCCGGGAGCCCTGGTGGTATGCGGGAGCGTGCACCAGGGGGTCTGTGAACAACGGCGCCTTGGGCAGCTTGACCAGCTGCTACTTCGGCTGGAGCGGCCTGGGGATACCCAGTATGTAGCTGCCAATGACCCTGGGGTCAGCACGGTGGGATTGGTGGCCCAGGGCCTGTCTGGGGATCCCCTCCTGTTTGTGGGAAGGGGATACACCAGCAGGGGCGTCGGGGGTGGTATCCCACCCATCACAACCCGGGCCCTGCGGCCCCTGGACCCCCAGGCTGCCTTCTCCTATGAAGAGACAGCCAAGCTGGCAGTGGGCCGACTGTCTGAGTACAGCCACCATTTCATCAGCGCCTTTGCACGTGGGACCAGTGCCTACTTCTTGTTCTTGCGGCGGGACCTGCAGGCTCAGTCTCGAGCCTTCCGTCCTTACGTGTCCCGTGTGTGCCTTCGAGACCAGCACTACTACTCCTATGTGGAGCTGCCCCTGGCCTGCCAGGGTGGTCGTTACGGGCTGCTCCAAGCTGCGGCCGTGGCCATGTCTGGGGAGGTGGCCCATGGGGAGGTGCTTTTTGCAGCCTTCTCCTCTGCGGGTCTACCTGCTATGGGCCGGCCTCCGTCAGCAGCTGCCGGGGCATCTGGCGCCTCAGCCCTCTGTGCCTTTCCACTGGACGAGGTGGACCGGCTGGCCAACCGCACACGAGACGCCTGCTATACCCGAGAGGGCCGTGCAGAGGATGGTGCTGAGGTAGCCTACATCGAGTATGATGTCAATTCCGACTGCGCACAGCTGCCCGTGGTGAGTCCCAGGCCCTGCCCCTGTCTGTGAAGTTACTGGCCAGACATTTAAACAGCTGTTGCTGGGGTCTGAGGGAAGCCAATGAGGTGGGAGATGGTCACGTCAGCAGATGTTAAGAGTGTTCTCTGTGTCTGAGTGGTGGAGAGGTACCTTAACACAGATGTGATGTTCAGAGAATCAGAGTGCAGAGACATGCTTGGACCAGGTGGACTTGTAAAAGGGTTACACCTATGTAGGCGAGATGAGTCTTTGGGAGGTTCCAGGGTCTGGGGCAGAGAATGCTGGGGAGATAGGAGCTACCTTATGTTTTTGAGCCAGAAAGGAACTTGTTTCCACCCTCAGGATGGATGGAAAAGGGAGAAGATGCAGGCAGGGGTGTTAGTAAGGTTCCGTGAGGGCTGGGTCGTAGCTTAGGTAGGTGGCTTGGGGAGAAGAGTGCAAGCTGTGCAAGGCTTTGGAGGAGGAGTGGTCGAGGAGAAGGTCGTTGTTGTTATGTGCCATCAAGTAGCCAGAGTCATAGCGACCCTGTGTTCAACAGTCTGAACCCTGCTCTGTCCTGAGCCAACCTTATTGTCTCTGACACACCTACTCCCATTACCCCAGTCACTGAGTCAGTCCATTTCATCGAAGGCCTTCTTCTCTTGCACTAACCCTCCACCCTCCCAAGCATGATGTCCCTCTCCAAGGACTGGTCCCTCCTTGCAACATCCCCAAAATATATCAGACAGAGCTTTACAATCCTTGCTTCCAGGAGCAGCCTGGTTTTACCCTTTCCAGGAGAAGGTAGAATACATAAGTTGGATAGAACAGTTTCCATGCCAGGAGTGGGGGAAAATAGGGCTACAGACAGGCAAGGGATCAAAAGAGGAGGAAGGAGCCAGTGGAAACTGTTCAAGGCAGCTGGACATCAGCCCACCGAGGCTGAACTAAGGATGTGGCTGTGGTCGTTGCCAAGGGAAGGAATTGTCGAGGAGGAGGCCAGTAGAGATGAGAGGTGGGAGGGGCAGTGATGAGATTTGTTGTCTAGAGGCTCCCAAAAGCGATGTGGGAGAGATGAGGTTGACCCAAAAGGATGGGGCAAGGGTTGGCTTTATGATGCCTCTTGCTGCCCGAAGGACACCCTGGATGCTTATCCCTGTGGCTCAGACCACACGCCCAGCCCCATGGCCAGCCGTGTTCCTTTGGAAGCCACGCCAGTGCTGGAGTGGTCAGGAGTCCAGCTCACATCTGTGGCGGTCGCTATAGAGGATGGGCACACCATTGCTTTCCTGGGAGACAGTCAAGGGCAGCTGCACAGGGTGAGTCTGCAGGAAGCACTGGTCTTCCTAGAATCCAGAAGGGAAAGAAGGGAGGGGGAAGTGGGCTGCTGGAGACTCAGCCGGGGCAGATCCTGTCTGTGACTGCAGGGGCAGAGATGTGTGTCCTGTGACACCTCCTCCTTCTACCCCTGACCTGGGGTGTATGCCTCATCCCCCTCCCAGGCTTGGGGAGGGTCCTGGATACAAGTCCTATGGCTATAGACATAGGCCCCAGACCTTGTGGTCTCTAATCTCAGGTTTACTTGGGCCCGGGCAGCGATGGCCACCCATATTCCACGCAGAGCATCCAGCAGGGGTCTCCGGTGAACAGGGACCTCACCTTTGATGGGGCCTTTGAGCACCTGTATGTCATGACCCAGAGCACAGTGAGTGCCAGGCGAGGGCCAGGGCTGCTGGGAAGGGTGGCTGGGCAGGGCCCCTGGGTCGGGCCTGGGCCCAACATGTGGATAAGCTTCTAGTGTTTGGACTGCAGCCTATACAGCATCTCCTTGTGTCCTCTTTGCTGTCACAGCTTCTCAAAGTTCCTGTGGCCTCCTGTGCCCAGCACCTGGACTGTGCCTCCTGCCTTGCTCAGAGGGACCCATACTGTGGGTGGTGTGTACTCCTTGGCAGGTCAGTGCTGTACTAGCTCCTGGCCCCTGACAGCTTCTTTGACTCCAGTCCAGCCCAGAGTTAGGCCATCAAATTCCCCTACCTGCATTCTTGATCCTTGGCTCTCAATCCCTCTATCCTCCATCCTGTGTAGACATGGGGGCCTGGTGTCAGGGCCACGTGAGGCCCAAGCCCGAATCTCCCCGGACAGTTGTTGGGGTACTTGCCCTGTGAACGCTCTGTGGCCCTTTGCGGGGGCCAGGGGTGTCATAGGAGGATACTGGTCACTCTTGCTCAGGTGCAGCCGCCGTGCTGAGTGCTCGAGAGGCCAGGGCCCAGAGCAGTGGCTGTGGAGCTTCCAGCCTGAGCTGAGCTGTCTGCAAGTGATCTCCATGAGTCCTGCCAACATGAGCCGAGAGGAGAAGAGGGAGGTGAGTGATCAGGGCCAGCCTGGGGCTCTGGCGGGGAGGGTTGTGGTGATGAGGAGAGACCTTGGCTCTTGGTCTTGGTGTCAGATGCACCAGATACCACATGTCCTTGTGCAAGCCACTTGTCTTGGGACTTTGCTTTCCTTCTGTGACTAACCAGACTCTAGAGATATCTGTGGGGGGCTGGGGACCACAGTGTGTGCTCATAGTGGGTGCCCTGTCCGTGTGATCCCTGGTCTGCCCAATGCCCGACAGTGTGCCCTGGCTTCTCTTGGCAGATTTTCCTGTCGGTGCCAGACCTCCCGCCCCTGCAGCCGGGGGAGTTGTATTCCTGCCACTTTGGAGAGCACCAGAGTCCAGCCCTGCTGACTGGTTCTGGGGTGATGTGCCCCTCTCCGGACCCCACCGAGGCCCCAGCACTGCCCAGAGGAGCCGGTGGGTGAGAGAAGGGGCCTGGCAGCCCCACCTTGCTCCTACCTTGCTCTAAGGGGGGTGTGGTTGGGATGAAGTGTAATTCCAGGCAAAGGACCCTGAGTTGTTGTTCTTCTCTGAGACCCACTAATTATAGCCCCCAGTTTCCTAATCTATGTCCTGTAGTCTGTGTCCATCTACCCCTGGGCTCCCTCCCTGCGTGCGGTGATTACCCTCGGGGCTGAGTGCTCCTCCCCGTTCCTCAGCACTGGTCCCCTGTCCCCTCTACAGACCACGTCTCTGTGAACGTGGAGCTCAGGTTTGGCCCCGTTGTGATCGCCAAAGCGTCCCTGTCCTTCTATGACTGTGCAGCAGTCATGGAGCTCTGGCCGACTGCACAGTGAGTTCCTCCGTCCCGACCCCCGGCCCCAGTCTGCCCTGTGGCGACCCCTGCCCCATGGCTGTGCCCTTGCAGGTGCCAGGCCTGTGTGAGCAGCCGCTGGGGGTGCAATTGGTGCGTCTGGCAGCACCTGTGCACACATAAGGCCTCGTGTGATGCCGGGCCCATGGTGGTGAGCCAGCAGGTGAGTGTGACTCCAGGGTGGGCTCCGTGAAGGGGTTTGGGAGTCCCGTTGTGAGGGTTTCTGTGCTGGCCCAGGGTCTGTGTACCTGCCTGCCCACATGAGGTCCTGTCTGTCTGTACACCTGCGCTGCTGCTGTGTGTGTGTGTGACGGACCCACTGATGAGACGCTGCTGCTGATACGTCCCACCTGTTTAGGGAGAGGATGCTTGTAACTGAGAGGCAGTGGGGTGCAAGCCTTGGGCCTCACCTCAGCACAGACACCCCTGGAGCTTGCCCTTCCTCTTTCTCCTTTGGAGAATTAATGAGCTGTTTTTGTTTTTCTTTTCCTTGGTCTTCTTTTCCTCTTAACATACCCTTTGCTTGCCTGCTACCTGCTCCTGCGCCTGCCTGCTGAGTGGCCCGCTCTGTCTCTCTCTGCTTCCCCTTCAGAGCCCGCTTCTCTTTCCAGCCCCTCCAGCAGGAGATGTGCCCAACCCCCTCCCTCCTGCAGCCCCCAAAGCCACTGTCACCCCAGCTTCCACTACCCTTTCTGCAGAACCTCGGGTTTCCTCCCCAACTCCAACCTCAGACACCCCACTCCAGGCCAGCCCCTCCCTGCTCAGCTCCCGGGAACCAGAGATAGGCCTTGGCCCCATACCTGTCCCCAACTCCACAGAGTCCCCTCTCCGTGAGAAGCCCTCCCATCTAGGCCCCCCTGACAGGCCTGTGACCACTATCTCTAGCCCCACTGTTGCTGGACCCACGGCCACCCCTGAGGAGCTTCCGGCCGCCAGCCCATCACTCTCAGATGCTGCAGTCCTGCCCCCTGTCCCTGCAGACCCTGGCCCTGAGACCTTCCCCTCTGCGATACCCCTGGACCAGCCCCCTGGCACTGCTCCTGCCACCACTTTCCCAGGGGCCACGGGCTCCACGAGGCCCGCTCTGGACTGGCTAATGAGAGAAGGCGGCGAGCTGCCCGAGGCGGACGAGTGGACGGGGGGTGACGCACCCGCCTTCTCCACTTCCACCCTCCTCTCAGGTGATGGAGACTCGGCTGAGCACGAGGGCCCTCCCGCCCCCCTCATCCGCCTGTCCAGCCTTGACTACCAGTACGACACCCCCGGGCTCTGGGAGCTGGTGAGGCCAAGCCCAGGAAGGAGGCCTCCAGGGAGGGTTTTGGGGAAGATGCAGCCCCTTGCTTGGCTTTCCAATTCTGTGGTGGCGAGACCATGGGCAGGGTGGAGCCTGCTGCCCCATGACGGCCTTGCCCTGAGACCCTGCCTGGAGTGGACTGAGGGGGCAGGGCAGGGTCCATGGACTGTGTTGCTCTCTTGGGCCTGCAGGAGGAGGCGGGGTGGGGGCCGAGTGCCTGCCCCTGTGTAGAGAGCGTCCAGTCCTCCATGCTGATGCCAGTCCTTGTGCAGCGCCAGGTCCACCTGGTCGGTAGGAACCTGCGCCTGTTCCAGGTGAGCACGTCTGCTGGGGGGGTGTGTGTGTGTGTGTGTGTGTGTGTGTGTGTGTGGGGGGGGGGAGGGGCTTATCTGCCTGGGAGGCAGCCTGTGCAGCAGCCCTGGGACAAGGCTTTGGTATATGGATGTCTCCTGGGAATGGAAAGAGGGCCTGGTAGCATGTTTTGAACTCCAACCCAGAGGAGGGACTGGAGGCTTGCGAGCTCCTGAAGTCACCCCAGCAATTGTGTCCTCTGTCCCCAGGACAACCCTGGAGACACTGAGTGTGTGATGGAGCTGGAGGGCCGAGAGGTGGTGGTTTCAGCCCGAGTGGAGTGTGAGCCACCTCCAGACACACGGTGCTACATCACATGCCAGCCACACCAGGTACAGACCATTAGTGGTAGTGTGGGCGAGGGGCACTGGCCACAGGCTGGCCGCCAGCCTCAGCTGATTGTACTATACTTGTCCCAGCTCAGGCTCTGCCTTTGTGTCCTGGAGGGTCTCAGTACCCCAGCTTGCATCTCCTACCCTGAAACCCCCACCCAGGATTTCCTGCATCCAGCTCTGTCTATGACTCTGTGTCGCTGAAAGCGCCATACTCTGCTCTGACCTCTGATCTTGGGCCCCCAGAGCTCATCATTTTAGTTCTGTCTCTGAGCAGCCCCACCCAGGCCTGGTACCTCTACCAGCCCTGGTTCTGACAGCATCTCCCTCTCCGTGCCGTCTCTCCAGCTAAGCTATGAAGCTCTGCAGCCGGAGCTCCGTGTCACACTGTTTCTGCGTCGGGCCGGCCGCCTACGCGTGGACAGCGCCGACGGGCTGCACAGTGAGCTCCCTGGGGTCCCTGGGACTGGCCGGCAGCGGCAGGGCTCTTCCATGCTTGCCTCTCACACACTCACCTCTGCCGCCCCCAGTGGTGCTGTATGATTGCTCCGTGGGACATGGCGACTGCAGCCGCTGCCACACCGCCATGCCCCAGTACGGCTGTGTGTGGTGTGAGGGGGAGCAGCCACGTTGTGTGGCCCGGGAGGCCTGTGGCGAGGCCAAGGCCGTGGCTACCCAGTGCCCTGCACCTCTCATCCACTCGGTATATCAAAACACTGTCCCTTCCCCTTCTCACTGCTGCGCTTGGAGGGAGAGTGGGGTGCCTTGAGTGTATCGAGGCCACAGCAGGGGATGAGAGAGCTGGGGCTGCCTCTCTGGCTGTTAGGGGTGAACAGGTAATGGAGGTGAGCAGTTTTTGTCCTGGAACAGGTGGAGCCACTGACTGGGCCTGTAGACGGAGGCACGCGTGTCACCATCAGGGGCTCCAACCTGGGCCAGCATGTGCAGGACGTGCAAGACACCGTCAAGGTGGCTGGAGTGCCCTGTGCTGTGGACACCGAGGAGTATGAGGTCTCCAGCAGGTGAGTTGACAAGACCCAGTGGGAATGGGGTGCACCCTATCCAGAGCTTCTCATTTCTTCTCTCCTTTCCCCCTTTCCTTGGCTTTGGTGATGATGCCCTGTGATTAAGATTGCCTCTGAACCGCAAGGGCCCCCTGCAGAAGGAAGGCACAGATTTACAGGTTCCTCGGCTGTGCTGCTTCACATGGGGAGCAGGGGAGACCTCACATTCTTGGGCCTGCCTGGGCTGGGCCGCTGCCCAGAGCTGATGCTGTCTCTCGCTCTGTGACTCCGTCTCTCGCTCCGTGTATTGATATTCTTACTTGACTTGCAAAGTGATCGTCTATGCAGTCATAGTAGCGGGTCCTCAGCCCTCACATAGCTGTTCCCAGAGGCTGGTCTTTCTACCAGCTGACCCTTCTTCCCCAAGCACAGCCCTGAGCCTTGACATGCAGGACGGAGGATATATGGTCTAGTGTCCAGGCCTTCCTGCTGCCTTCCTGGGCAGGATCTACCTTCAAGGCAGGTCCCACACCAGCCTGAATCTCATAGTTGAAGAACCTGTTTTTAAATAACTCATATCTGGTCCTTAGATCTTAGAATTTATAGGAAGGCTCTGTAGTGGCATAGTGGGTTAGATGTTGGGTTGCTAAGCAAAAAGATGGCGGTTCAAATCCCCCAGCCACTCCTCAAACAGTCTTTCTCATAAGGATTCATAGTCTCGATGATCTGGTGGAGGGCCACTGGGGGTGAGAATCAACAGCAGTGGTTGTAACCTCAGTGAGGAGTCCTGGTGGCATAGTGCTTAAGCATTTCATGGTTAACTGAAAGGTGAACAAGTTTGAACCTACCAGTTAGTTCCACGGGAGAAGGATGGGGCGGTCTGTTGCCGTGAAAATGACTCTGTGGGACGGTCTGCTTTGTCCTCTAGGGTCACTGTGAGTTAGACCCTTGGCAGTGGGTTTGATTTGGGTTTAAAATCTTTACTGTTTACTTTTTTAAAAGCAAAGAGCTGCTTTGCTGGAACATGTAGCTTTTCCCCGAGATGTAGTTTGAATCTAGGCTAATGATGATTCCAGAAGCATAAGATTAAGGTAATTTGTGAAGTGCTTTAGAAAGCCATTGACGTGTGGTTTGGTTGAGCATGTCCTGGGGAGTTCACGCATCACAGGTTCTGATTTGCTGGAGTGTTTGCAGTGACAGTGACAATGTCATAGAATTGAGTCCCTTAAGGCTTAGCATTCTGGAAATGAATTTGCCTCAAGCTTCTGTTTTCTGACTGAGAGCCATCATTTATTTATTTATTTATTTATTTTTTAGAATGTTAACTTTCCCATCATGTTTGTCCCCAGTTCTTTTAGGGACTTCTTTTTCTGTAAGGGAATAACATTTCTGCCGCTTTTCCAGTGTTGCCGCATACACAGTCATGGGAGAGGATGCAGGGGAGAGGTCGTGGGGCCCCCTCAGCTCAGCCCACACACACAACCAGTCTGACAAGGCTTCTTTGTAAACTTAGGCCATAACAAAGAAAAAAAAATCCTCCTTGTCAGAGGCCTTGGGGGCTACACTGGGAGGATTGAAATCACAAATATTAATCTTCAGGCATGGAAGCCTGCCATGTGGAATTCCCTCTGAAATTGGAGCTCTCCCTCCAGAGCGATCAGTTTCCTGGGGGCAGTGAGAGAAGGCCGACTGACCTAGCAAGGCAGGGCATGGGCAGCCCGGACAGTGTGGGGCCTTGGGTACTGCATGGGCCCCCAGCCTGCTTTGTTCCCCACAGCCTCGTGTGCGTCACCGGCATCAGCGGGAAAGAGGTGGCAGGCCCTGCGATGGTGGAGGTGCCAGGAAGAGGGCATGGCGTCTCCGAGCGGGACTTCATTTACCAGGTGCTGACTGCAGGGCCCCCCAGCTGAAGAGGAGCCATCTAGTCAGCTGGCTTTCCTGGCCCATCTGATTGTAACTTTGGGGCCCCCTGCTGCCTCAGGCTCACCCTGCCTCTCAGTTTGTGGGCTGATGTCTTTTTGCCTTTTTCTGCTTCTCTCCTTACAGGATCCAGAGGTGCACTCCATCTTCCCAGCCCGAGGTCCCAGAGCGGGGGGCACTCATCTCACCCTGCAGGGCACCAAGCTTCTGACTGGGCGCCTGGAGGACATTCGAGTCATGGTTGGGGACCAGCCATGTCACCTGTGAGAGCTGCTTCTAATCCTGTAGAAGTGCACATACTCTGGGGGAGATGGGACAGGGAACAGGGCCAAGTGGGTTCCCTCTTACGGCAGCCAGATCCTCTTGAGGCTGGGCAGTGAGCCGGGGCCTGAGTGTGGCCCAGCTCCCGTGTCCTTGCGTCTTCCCCTTCCAGCATCCTCTCTGGAGCCACCTGACTGACCAGCTCTTCCACTGTCGCTTCCCTCCTCAGATTGCCCGAGAAGCAGGCAGAGCAGCTGTACTGCGAGACCAGCCCGTACCCTGCGTCTGCCCTGCTCTCCGTGTCTGTGTGGTTCGGGACCACTGAGCGGAGGCTCCGGCACAGCCAGTTTCAGTACACGTCAGACCCAAATGTCACCTCTGCAGGCCCCTCCAAGAGCTTCCTTAGGTTTGTGGCACGTGGCAGGGGGTGATGGCAATTGGTACAGCTACCAGGCATAGGGAGTCTGTAGTACTTTACATGGGCAACTCTGGGTTCCCACGATGCTAATGGGAGAGGGACCCAGGAAGCATGGGGCTGGGTTATGCTAGCCCAGTGGGACCAGGCTGGGCTTTAGAGCCTGGGTCACATAAGCCAGGAGGAACAGCAGCTGCCTCTGTCCCAGACTGTGACAATTGGCTCTTGGGCTGTGTTTTAGTGGCGGACGTGAGATATGGGTCCGTGGTCAGAATCTGGATGTGGTACAGACGCCAAGGATTCGAGTGACCGTAGCCCCCAAAGCTCCGCTCCCTGGCCAGGGGCTTGGTCGGAGACGCCGTGTGATCCCAGAGACAGCGTGCTCCCCTGGAGCCTCCTGTGATGGTCAACATGTAGGACACCCCGGGCATCCCTGGCCTTCACTGGGCTCCCTGCCACCTTCTTTTTGCCCTATGCCACAAGCTATGGACATCCAGGGGTGGCTGGTGCCAAAAGAGGCTTTCCCCATCTTTCCTTGGTTCCCTTGCCTTGCACCCTCTCAGCTGACCCTCCCCTGCCTTGCTTCCCTCAGCTCCAGTTTGAGGAACCATGCCACGTGAACTCCTCCCAGCTCATCACGTGCCATACACCTGCCCTCCCAAGCCTGCCCGAGAGTCCCTGGGTCCAGGTGGAATTTATCTTTGACAACCTCGTCTTCGACTTTGCAACACTGAACCCCACACCCTTCTCCTACGAGGCCGACCCCACACTGTATCCCCTGAACCCGGAGGACCCTACTACACCGTTCCGGCACAAACCTGGGAGCGTGTTCTCAGTGGAGGTACTGATTCTGTCTGAACTCGGGGGTCCCCCATCCTTCCCTTTGCTGGGCAGTGCTGCTGTGTGTGGGAATAAGACTGCTAGATGGACTGATACCTCATCTTTCATGGGGGGTATCTTGGTGAGGGCTGCAGGAAGTTGATGTTCGCAGTCTTTGGCCTGGGGTTATCTGGCAATCGCTGGGCCTGTAGCGTGGGTCCTTCCACACGCTGATTAATATGTTAAGTAGTTTTTTATATGTGATAATTGGGCATTTGCAATGTAACATACATGTTCTGATATGTGTAATAAATGGGCCATCAGTTACAGAGCAGGGCTTTGTTGCATGGAATTTTGGGAGGTATAGAGTAGGGATTTTTGAGTCTGGAGAACCTGATACCCTTGGAAGAAGGATAGAAAAGGACCGAGAAGGGGCATGGGGAGAAGCTTAGAGGGCATCCCATGGCTTAGGACCAGGTTCCAGGGCCTGTGACTCCTGCTTCTGGGAAGGGGTCCAGAAACATCTCATAGGGGGTGGCCAAGACCAGGGTGACCACTTGCTCCTCCCCTTGGAGAGGATCTGAATGACTGGTCAGTGACATCCCTTGTTCCAGGGAGAGAACCTGGACTTTGCAATGTCCAAGGAGGAGGTGGTGGCCATGATTGGGGACGGCCCCTGTATTGTGAAGACGCTGACCCGGCACCATCTGTACTGCGAACCTCCCGCGGAGCAGCCTCTGCCTCGGCACCATGCATCTCGGGAGGCCCCTGACACTTTGCCTGAGTTCACGGTCAGTGGGCAGGCCGGGGGCTGGGCTGGGCCTCAGCCATTCCTGAGCCCTCACTCTTGGCTGTCTGCCTGCGCAGGTGCAGATGGGGAACCTGCGTTTCTCCCTGGGGCGTGTGCAGTATGATGGCGAGAGCCCCGCGGCCTTCCCCATGGCAGCCCAAGTGGGCCTGGGGGTGGGCACCTCCGTTCTGGCACTGGGTGTCCTCATCATTGTCCTCATGTACAGGTGGGCACCGTTAGTGGTGGCTGAGCTGGATGGGGCAGGCGTGGCTTGTGGATGGATTGGGAAGGCACAGCCAGACCTTTTCTGTAAAGGGTCAGGAATTAGGAGGGAGGGATCGCAGAACAATGAAAGAGTTTTTCTTTTCAAGGAGAAGAGTGAATTGGGGGGAATGGGTGGGTATGGAGAAAAGTGTAACAACAAATGACTGGAAACCCTAAGTCTCTGTAAACTTTCATTAAAATTAATTAAAAACAACAAAAAAGGGTCAGAGAGTATAAATATTTTAGGCTTTGTATGCTCAGGGGGTTTTGCAGTTCTGTCATTACAAGGCAAACACAGCTGCATTCCAGTAGAACTTTATTTACCAAAACAGGATATGGGCAGATATGCCGTGGTGGTAGTTTTCTGACCTCTGTGCTGGGTCAGGCCTGGGCATGGGTCAGGGCGGATTGCCTGGGATGGAACAGACTCAGTTATCCTTGGCTGGGCTGGGTGTGTCTGGGTCAGGGCATGGCTGAGTCTGGGTTAGGAAGGACTGGGCCTCCCTGACCTGGACCTCCGTGGGCGCTGAGCAGGAGGAAGAGCAAGCAGGCCCTGAGGGACTATAAGAAGGTCCAGATCCAGCTGGAGAACCTGGAGAGCAGTGTGCGGGACCGCTGCAAGAAGGAGTTCACCGGTGAGTGAGGGTCCCACTGCCTGGGTTCCTCTGCACCAGCTGCCCTCGTGTGAGAGCCACACCGCCACCCCACCACCTCTTCTGCCCCACAGACCTCATGACTGAGATGACCGACCTCACCAGCGACCTCCTGGGCAGTGGCATTCCCTTCCTCGACTACAAGGTGTACGCTGAGAGGGTCTTCTTTCCCGGGCACCGGGAATCACCCCTGCACCGGGACCTGGGTGTGCCTGAGAGCCGGCGGCCCACAGTGGAGCAAGGCCTGGGACAGCTCTCCAACCTCCTCAACAGCAAGCTCTTCCTCACCAAGGTGCCCCTGCCCTGCCCTCTCCCTCTCCCGGCCTGCCTTAGCCCTTCCCTCGCTGCTGATCCCAGCTCACTCCCGTCTGCACTCTCTCAGCCCTGTCCCCTCTCTGTCCCACTGTTTCTGAATCTGAGCTTCTCTCTCCCTGGACCCAGTTCATTCATACACTAGAGAGTCAGCGCACCTTCTCGGCCCGGGACCGGGCCTACGTGGCGTCCCTGCTCACGGTGGCACTGCACGGGAAGCTCGAGTACTTCACCGACATTCTTCGCACGCTGCTTAGTGACCTGGTGGCCCAGTACGTGGCCAAGAACCCCAAGCTGATGCTTCGCAGGTCAGTGTGGCTGTGGGAAGCGGTGGAGTGGGTGCCAGGGCCAGACGGGCTGAGACGGAGCTTCTGCGGTCTTGGGGTCTGTAGACTAAATAGTGCCGTAAACTTGCCTGGAAAGCCCTGACCGTCTCTCTTCTCTGTCCTCCTAGGACAGAGACTGTGGTAGAAAAGCTGCTCACCAACTGGATGTCCATCTGTCTCTACACCTTCGTGAGGGTGAGAGGGGTGAAGGTGGATGGGGCCCCTGAGAGGGTTGGGACTAAGCCACTAAGCCTGTGGCCCCCATGCAGCTAGTGCCCCAGTGCTGGGCAGGCTCACCCGCCTAGTGTATCTTCTCCCACTTGAGCTTTTTGTACCCTGTCCTCTTCCCTAGCTTACAGTCTATCCTCTGGACCTTTGTCCCATACCTGTCACCTTCCTGGAGGGGGGGGGTGTCCCTAACTGCTTGACACTCCCCCAGGACTCTGTAGGGGAGCCTCTGTACATGCTGTTCCGAGGAATTAAGCACCAAGTGGACAAAGGACCAGTGGATAGTGTGACTGGCAAAGCCAAATACACCCTGAATGACAACCGCCTGCTCAGAGAGGACGTGGAGTACCGTCCCCTGGTGAGGGGGATGTGTGTGTGTGTGTGTGTGTGTGTGTGTGTGTGTGTGTGTTATCAGCCACTGGTGAGTGCCGTGGGGGTGATGATGTGAAAGTGTTTGGTAAGGGACTACAGTTCCTGGTGAAGGTACTCACTGGGTTTCGCTGGAGAGGAAGGAGACAGAAGTCCATTGCTGGGCCCAGGGAATCAGGGATTGGGCTCAGGGAGACAGGACACCTGGCTGGCTGGCTGCTTGTGGAAGTGGTATTAACAGAGGATGTAACATGACCACACTCGGGCCTCAGCAGGTCCTGTTTCATTTAATCTTCCCAGGAGACCTCTGAGGTCTTCCCCATTATATATTAATAGCTGAACAAACTGAGGCTTGTAGCGGTCTCTGGAAGGTCACATGCTGATTAGTAAATCATGTGCTAGTTAATAAATGGGAGACAAAGTCCAGAAGCAGCTTCCTATTGGCTGCTGGGCAGCATTCTTTAAGTACACTATGCATAGACCCTGAGATGACTGTGGCCCTGGCTCCTGGGATTTCGGCTGCCATAGGATGATCAAGGGGTGGAGCTTTGTGGGGGGGGAGGTTGAAGGGTTGCAGGGTGGGAGACGGACTTAGCTTCTGATGTTTGTGTCGGGGTGCAGCCAGCCTGATCTGTGGTCTCCAGGGAGAAAAGCCTTTAGACTAAGTTCGCAGAGTGGAGGCTCGAGGGCCAGACTTGGAGGACAGGGCATTGCAGGAGGGTGCTCAGGCTTGGGCTAGAGTCAGGGAGGTCACCGCCTCCCGGGGGAGGAGCAAGCCCTGCCCTGGACCAGCCTCAGTTCCTGCCCTGCCAGGGCTCTGGGTGGCTGCCAGGCCATCATTTTGGCACCTGGCCAGCGAGGTGGTGTGTTCACTGTGCTGGGAGATAGGCCTCAGGAACCACCCTGGCCAACCTGCTTGTCACTTCGCTCTGGCTTTGTTTCTCTTTGTTTTCATTGAGACATTCCTTCAGGGAAATTTTATTGGGTTTCAGCTCAGCCTCTGTCTGGATAAAGGGGAATCCTTGCTTCTTTTCAGCTTCCTCAGACTCACCGACTGAGATAGGATTCTGGAGAACTGCGTGGACAGGGGTTTGTGGTCATTATTTACTTTCTGCCATTCACGCAGTCATTAACTAAGAGAGTATGCTGGCTGCTGGTTCCAGAACAGGAGATATGTAGGTGAAGAGACTGGGATTAGGACTGTGATGCTTAGAGACCAGCACTGGCCAGGCTCTCTCGTGGGTGGTACCTGTCCTTAGCCTTGCATCCATGTAATTCCCACATGTGACATGGACCCTCCTGGCTCCCATGTGTCCTGTGTAGACCTTGAACGCGCTGTTGGCTGTGGGGCCAGGGGCAGGAGAGGCCCAGGGCATGCCTGTGAAGGTCCTGGACTGTGACACCATCTCCCAGGCCAAGGAGAAGATGCTGGAACAACTTTATAAAGGAGTACCTCTTGCCCAGCGGCCAGACCCCCGCACCCTAGATGTTGGTGAGGAAGGGGAGAGTTCTGGCCCGGGGGGGTCTGAGCCAGCATTTGGGATGGCTGGCCCTGGGCCACTCGAGTCCCACCTTGGGAGTGGCAATACCTGGAGCAGGATGGGGGTTGACTCTGGACCCCCTCTCCAGAGATAAGCTCTCAGCTGTTAATGGACCCTGTGTTGTAGCATTTGTTGTGGGGAGGCTGGGTGGGAAAGCTTGTGTTCCTGTGGAAGAAGGAATCACTTCTGTCACCCCTGGACCAAGGCCCGTCTTGTCATTGTAGAGTGGCGATCTGGTGTGGCGGGCCACCTTATTCTCTCTGATGAGGATGTCACTTCAGAGGTCCAGGGACTGTGGAGACGTCTGAACACCCTGCAGCACTACAAGGTGGGAGGACTAGGAGCCTGCGGAGGGCGTGGTGTGGTGCGGTTGGCAAAGGGGTCACCAACTGTGGCCAACAGGTCCCAGATGGAGCAACGGTGGCCCTCGTCCCTTGCCTCACCAAGCACGTTCTCCGGGAAAACCAGGATTATGTCCCCGGAGAGAGTGAGTAGCCCCGCTGTCCACATCTGTCTTTTACCCTTGCTTTGCCCCTCCCTTCACCTAGGTGCCCTCACCCTTGTGGGAAGGGCAGGTCCCTGGAGATCCAGGGAAGGTGATGCCTGATGAAGGGTGATGAACTGAGATGTGGGGTCCCGGTGCAGGAACCCCGATGCTGGAGGATGTGGATGAGGGGGGCATCCGGCCCTGGCACCTGGTAAAGCCGAGTGAGGAGCCAGAGCCGCCCAGGCCTCGGAGGGGCAGCCTTCGGAGCGGGGAGCGTGAGCGAGCTAAGGCCATCCCCGAGATCTACCTGACCCGCCTGCTGTCCATGAAGGTGGGAATGGAGGGTGGGGCAGTGGGGCCCAGGGCAGGGAGTGAGTGGTGCTAGGGCTGAGGGGACGTGGGAGTAGGTGGGGGCACACCCAGTGGAGTGCCACAGGGCAGCTGGGCTGGTATGTGCCATATCTTTGCTGACCACAGCTGTCCCACATCCCCTTCCCCAAAGGGTACCCTGCAGAAGTTTGTGGACGACCTGTTCCAGGTGATCCTCAGCACCAGCCGCCCGGTGCCGCTGGCCGTCAAGTATTTCTTTGACCTGCTGGATGAGCAGGCCCTACAGCATGGCATCTCCGACCAGGACACCGTCCATATCTGGAAGACCAACAGGTGGGAGTGGGGCCGGGTGGCCCGGCTGGCCGAGTCGGTGGTCATTTCCTGCCCCATCAGCTCATGCTCACTCGGCCACACCTGTCCTCCCTGCAGCCTGCCACTGAGGTTCTGGATCAACATCATAAAGAACCCGCAGTTCGTGTTTGACGTGCAGACGTCGGACAACATGGACGCAGTGCTCCTTGTCATTGCGCAGACCTTCATGGACGCCTGCACCCTGGCCGACCACAAGCTGGGCAGGGTGAGCGGCCTTGGGGTGTGCGCCAAGGGCAGTGGGGGCCAGGATTGGACAGGACATTGCTGTGCATACACGCAGATTCCACGGAGCAGTGGGATCTGACCTCTGACTGCAGGCCTCCTCATCAGGCCAGGCTGTGCTGGGGACTCCCTGGGAGAGGCAAGGCCTCAATATTAAGAGCTGAGCACGATGCTTTGCTAGAAGGAAACACAGTCTCCTGTGCCGGTCGGATCTGCTTCGACAGTACACAACAAGAAGAGTTAAACAGGAGTGTGTTGGGGACATCATGCACCCACTTACACAATCAGGATACAGACAGCAAGCTCTAGGCAGGCTGTGGGTAGAGGTCCTTCCACGGGTCAGTGGAAGTTGCTAAAGGGTTGGGCATGTGCTGTGGCCTGGCCATACCTGTGGCTTCGGCTGAGCACCTTAGTGATTGTGGAAACACTAGACCCTGAGAATCCAGAGAGGAAGTGTCAGCTCTCCTCAGATGAGCAGGGGTAGCTTCACGCCAAGGATGAGGATGTGTGGCAGGCCAGGTCTGTGGGACGTGGAGACACGTTGGCTGTGAGTGCTGTGAGAGGAAGGCTGACTCAGTCTGCCTTTGATGAGCTCAGACTTGAACAAAGTGAGCCCGAGGTGTTTGTTGGGGTGCCAGGTGGTTTCCAGGTGGCGAAGCGCTCTGTAGTCCCACAGTAGCTCCTGACTCCCTGGTGGGTTTGAGTCTGTGGGAGTGCTGCGGTAGTGTTTGTTACACGGTGGGAAGTAGAGTTCAGGGCGTGTCTGTGAGAGGGCTGTGTGCTGGAGGACCGCTCGCAGGCACGGAGGAGAGGAGGTGGTCAGGCAGCATGAGCGTGGGAGTGTGTTGTTATAAACACCAAAGCCAAAAGAGTCACATGACAGATGTGGGCTCACCTGTGTGTCTGCTCAGGGTCTTAAGATACCACGGGTCCATGGATGGGGCACTCTGCCTAGTTCAGAGCCTTGGGCCACCGTCACCTTATGGCCTGCCTCTTCAGGATACATTTTTTGATCTAAGGAAACAATGTGGGGCGTTCTACTCTCTAGCACTATCTTGGGAGGCTTCGTTTGCTCCATGTAAACTTATACTGCTTGGTCATGAGCTGAGAATCCCAGGGCCACACTAGGTCCCATGGCCCACTTCCAGGGGTGGGTGCTGAGTCTTGACTGGGTGTTTTGCTCGGTTGTCACACTGTCTCTCTCCTGCCCAGCAAACCAGCAGATAGCTCAGAAATAGTCCAAACCGTGTGTGCCAAGACCACCCGGTACAGAGCCCCATGAGAACTGATGACAAAGTGTGTCCCCTTTGGCATGCGAGCTTGAGCTCTTGCCTCGCCTCCCAGCAGCTTTACGATGAAACAGAAGGTTGAGAGATGTGAAGTTTGGTGCCCAGGGTCACAGGTGCTGGGGTTCACCAGGGCACTGGGAGTGGCCGCACCTGGGCATGTTAAAATTGTGGGCTCTTGTACCTGCGAGACCTGTCTCACATTCCAGCCCAGCCACTGGGGAGTAGAGGAGGCTGCAGCGACTTACTTCATTGCCTAGGTCACAGTTTCCTCATTTTTAAAGTGATTAAAAGAGATTAAATGGCACGGCACCTGGGGCGGCACCTGGGGCAGCGTCAGGGCTCCCACAGCTCTGTCCCCTGCCCCCCAGCGTGCTGCTCCGGGAGGGGCTGGCTCCACGCATGGAGGCACTTGGCTGAGAAATGGCCTCGGATTGATGGGGAGTGGCTTGAGGTGATGTCAGATCCTGGACATGAAGGAGAGGGACAGCAGAGGGCACTTAGTAGAAGGGCTTATTATCCAGGTGACCAGCACTGGAGCTGAGGGGGCTCCTGGGATATAGGACTTTCAGTTTTAAAACTGAAACAGTGCTGGGAAAACTAGGACGTGGATTACCCTAACAGGGACCCTCATTCTTGCCTCTTTTTATCACCTTCCTCCTAACCAGGACTCCCCCATCAACAAACTGCTATACGCTCGGGACATTCCGCGCTACAAACAGATGGTGGAAAGGTAACAGGTGTAAGGAGAGTCAGTGGGAGTCAGTGGGTGGGGCAGGTGAAGCCAGGGGTGGGCACGTGGCCTGGGGGTGGGGGTGGCCTTGTTTACCCAGCAGTTACAGCACATAAGATCCCTGGCAGGTACTATGCAGACATCAGACAGGCCATCCCCGCCAGCGACCAAGAGATGAACTCCATTCTGGCCGAGCTGTCCCGGGTAAGGCTCTGCTTGACTTCTCACCATGGAATGGGGCCAGGGGATCCAAACATCTCAGCCCAGAACGTGCAGAGATGCCTTGTCCGGCTTGAACAAGTGCTTGAATTCCTGCAGTCTTACCCTGTGGAGTGTGCTGAGACAAGCAGGGCAGAGAGGCGGCGGGGATTCAGCCCCAGGTCTGTCAGTCTGGGATCCACGTCTTTCTATTGTCAGCTTCCTTCGGTGGAGTAGACATGCCCCACTTGCTCCAAAAACAACCCCAAAGTGTACACTCGGGAATCGATGAACAAGGTTTCTGAAGTGATGACAAGCACAGCTCCTGTAACTATCTCAGTTTGGAGTTGGGGTGTTGCTGTGTGTCAAGCCTTTCTGGGTTGTCCTAGGGGTTGCATTTGTTGCTCACAGAAGCTCCACAAGTTAGATGGCGCCACCTTGGTGGTCTTGGTGAGGAGGTGGAGGCTCAGAGGTGTTCCACTGTGGGGCCTGGGAGGGACCTCAGGAAATGATTGTGTTAGAACAGACCTACACAAGTGGCGTCTGGGCTGCTGGGCTCTGTCCACTGCACTTTTCCCCTCCCATGCCCATTCGTTCCCTGGGTAAGTGAGAAAAGGGTAGGGTAATGGTTCTTCTTTGAGATTTGGGGCTAGCCGGCTGCATTACATCAGGATACTGCTGGCCTGGGGTCTTTTACTGATCACTACACCTGGCCCAGTTCCCTGGAAGAAGCACCACGAGTGGGTGACCGCAAAGCTCAGAATGTTACATTCTCAAGGTCAAGGAGGCTGGGAGTCCACATTGAGGCACTGGCCTTAGGGGAAGGCTTTCTCCTTGTGTCTCTTGGGGAGGATTTCTTTCAGTTTCTCTAGGCCTAGCTTTCCTTTGTCCCCTGGTGATTTCTGCACAGCACCTTGCTCTTTCCTATTGTGCTTGCCTCTCAGTGTCATTGTGCCGTTTATAGTTTATATCTCCAGAGTCATTAGGTTCCTGACCCACCCTCCACAGCATAATGACATAGCCTCATTAACCTAACAAAGAAAATCCTAGTCCCAAATGGGATTATAATTGGGAATTGTTGTTGATTGCCTTTGAGTTGAGCTCGACTCATAGTGACCCTATGAACAAAAGGCCTGAAGCCCCTCTACAACTATCAACATTTATCAAAGTTCATAGAGTTTCCAGAGGCATGTTGTTTAGGACGTGGATCCCACTCCTGCTTCTAAATAATTGGGGATTCAGGTCAATAAGAAGGGTCTTGGCCCTCTCCTGCCCCAGCTGAGCGTACATGGGCCCAGCTCCCTGGTCTGTACAGGCGCTGTTTCCTACAGCAGCCTCTGCCCCGTCCATCTTTCCCCCTCCCTGGCTCCCTGGCCCCCAGGCGGACTGTGTGTCTCCTCTCACTCACCTCTTATCTGGCTTCCTCCCAGAATTTCTCTGGAGACCTGGGAGCACGTGTGGCACTACACGAACTCTACAAGTATATCAACAAATACTACGACCAGGTGGGCAGAACACTGGGCAGGAGTCAGGAGGCCTGGCCTTGGGTCCTTCCCTGGGAGGCTGGGGGAGAGTGGACAGGCAGTCTGCCCCTGTGGTTCAGGGTGGGGGTCCCTGGGATCAGTCCCAGGCACCAAGTAGAGAGGGTGGGGCTCCTCGGCAGTACCTCCTTGAGTGGTGCTCTTGGCATTGACTGTTCTTATACTTGCCCTGCTCCCACCCCAACACCTCAGAGGGGCTTCTGGGCATGGTGACGGTGGAGAGCTGAGGAGACGGAAGACACGTACCGGATGGGGTGTGTGGCCACCACCTCTGCCAAGAGTGCAATCTGTGGTCGGCAGGGTGTTGGCACAGTCGCCTCTTGGGGAGTAGGCCCCTGCTGAGTTACATGGCCACCAATGAGAAGGGTCCTGGTGGAGGCACACAGTGTAGGCCGGGGGTTGGTGTGGGTGAGGCGCAATGGAACCAGTGAGGGGCTCTCTGGGGTCTTCCCGGCTTACTTGCTAATCCTTAAACCTGCTATAATAGTGGGCTGCAAAAATCCTCTCTCTGTGGCGAAGCTGGGAGGATGCTGGTTGTGAGTTGAGGTGGGAGGAGGTCCCTCTGAGGAGGGCTGTTCAAGTCTGTGCAGACAGGTCGGGTGGAGAGCTCTCATGGGAAATCATGTCTGCGTTTCAGATCATCACTGCCCTGGAGGAGGATGGTACAGCTCAGAAGATGCAGCTGGGCTACCGGCTCCAGCAGATTGCAGCTGCTGTGGAAAACAAGGTCACGGATCTGTAGGGGTGGCCTGCTGTTATCTCCGTTCCGCCTGGGCAGGCCTGGAACTGTGAGGGAGACCCCACCTTCTTAGATGTCGTAGTGACTGACAAGCAGGGTTAGTGGAAGGTGGACTCCCAGCCTCCCGAGCCCTCCAGCCTGCCCCTGTGGTCCCCTCTTGGCAGGGTTGGGGCCCTGAGGCTCATGGCGCGATGCCTCGCCCGCTCCCTGAGCCCAGTAACTCTGTGAGCTGTTGTTTCCTATGGGACGTCTGTTGGCGGGGAATTGAGGACCAAGGACTTGCAGAGAGTGGCTTCAAAGGGAGACCATACTGCACCTGGACACTGGCCTCGATCCCACCGGGGTTCAGAGAGAACGAGGAGAGCCCTCACCCACTCTGCTCATCGTCCCTGACCTGAGGTTAGCTGCCTTTGGCCTTGTTGCTGCTGTCACGTTCCTAGGCCCGAGAGATGGACACCTTTCCTTAGCCACTGCAGGTTGGCCTCTCAGCAGAGCTAGCTGCCTCAGGACCACCCTGCCTCTCAGGCAGCCCGTGGTGAAGGGCATCTATCTGCGGCAGGGTGCCTTTGGGAGAGGGGTGGCCCACTGACCAGCTCTTCATTAAAGGATAACACACTGCATGGAGTGGGGCTCTGCTCTGTGGGGTCAGCCCAGCCCCTCACCACTCTGAGGGTGAAGGCCAAATTCCAGAGATGATGCCTGCAGTTGAGGGTGTTTTAACCCCTTTGGTTATATTCTGCTTGTCTTGCAAGGAACTGAGACAACTAGACAGATTGGATCTTAGGGACCTTTTTCATTGTCTGGTCTCTAGGTTGCCCTAATCCCTTTAGCTTGGGAAATTCTTCCATATCAAAACATCTTAGTGGAGGTGGGCTCCTCACCCAACTGCCCGCCTGTGTGAAGGCCTCTGTTTCAGTTTTTTTTTAAACTTATGTGCGCGCGCGCGCGCGTGTGTGTGTGTGTACCATCAAATTGGATCTGATTGGTACGGGAGGAGATTGTCCCTCCTTCTCCAACAGAACATCTGATGGATTTGAACCGCGCACTTCTAGGATTGTAGTGTAGCTTCTTGCCACTAGGCCACCAGAGCTCACCAACTGTTTCAGTTATTTTAATGCTTCTGTAACAGAGATACCACAAGTGGATGGCCTTCACAAACCATTTGTTCTCATAGTTTAGGAAGGTAGAAATCCTGAGTAAGGGTGCCAGCTCTAGGGGAATGCCCTCTCTGTTGGTTCTGGAGGAAGGGCCTTGTTTCCTTCAGCATCCGTAGGCCCTGAGTTCCTTACAGATAGATCACCATGTATCTTGGCCTTCTCTTCCTAGTGCAGGGACATGAGTCCAGTGGGATGCACTCACTTCCTGGTGATTATTTCTTGGCCATGTTGAAGCCTCTGCCCCCTCCACCCCTACTCCCTCGCCCCAATTTCCTTTCCTTTGTCTTTCGTGAGATAAAAGATGTCACAGGCCACACTCCAGGGAAACTCCCTTCCATTTGATCAGGGCCTCAGTGAGAGTAAGGAGTGTTGCATTCAGGCTTTTAATCCTCTTACAGCTATTTGTTTTATCATCACAGGGAAGTGTTACAGAGTTTCTAGATTACATCCTTATGTACCTGTGTTTCTTTTTTTTAAGGGTACAGTTCAATCCTTGACAGTCACTTTGTGTCTTTGTTTTGTTTCTTAATCTGGAGGTGAGAAATGGGACTATTTCAGTTGGAGCCCAGGGGCCTGGAGTTTGATGCTGCCTTGACAGAGACTACCACATGCTTCCACTGGAAGCCAGCACTCTGAAAACAGGCACAGAAAGGGCCCCTCAGTGCTGAGGTCTTCAGAATTCTATCCCCTTTATCCCCCATTTCCTCATAACAGATCCTATCCGCCCTTTCCCTCTGATACAGAGTCCCTGTCTCCTGTTCAGGGATCTTTGTTGAGAGTTTGAAGAAACAAGGTAATATGATTCCAGAAGTCACTTTGCCTGCTACCCCCAAAGTCCTTATCCATACGAAAGTAGGGGCTACACTGCTACTGTCCATGCCGGTGGTTTCACAGCTGCCACAGGTTCTTAATAGCCACCCAGATTTGTGCCACAGACACAGGTGATCTGTCGTAAGCTTTTGTCCTACAATGAGTGGCTCGACCCAGAAGGTTTCTGTAGTCACTCTGACCCTCCCCATTGGCTGCTGTGGTCAAACCATGGAGGTGATCCTCAGTCTTGGCAATCACAGGAGCAGGGCCAAGGGGAATTCAGCTTGGGGTGGATGTCAGGCAGGCGCAGAGAATACAGGCAGCCTTTGTCAGCACAAAGGGCCATGACAGATCTGTGCCTCTGTCCCAGCCTCAGGCCCATTGGTCCTGGGAGGCTTGTAATGGGGACAGGTGAGGCTCAGAGAAAGCCTTGTACCTGCATGTGTGGGTGTGTATACGGGAGGGTGAGTATTGCATACAGCATACAATCTAGGCATATTCACCATCTCACAGAACATGATTAAAAGTATATGAATGATAAAAATATTAATTAAAAAAACCCTCAGTTGCTTGGCCAGAAAAAATAGGTATAAAGAAAAAAACCTCAACAAGCTTGGGAATTCCAGGTCTACTTGAAAATTTCAAGTCATGCTTGAAAATGGAGATTCCAGCACTGTTAAGACTTTTGTGATTGCCCTAAATGTAGGACACTTGTTAACCAGTTTGGTCAGCCTTTTCTTCAATACTCTTTTTTCCACAAACAGCATAAAAGGGACTTTGCTCTCAGTTACTGAATGTTATTATTTGTCTTGACATCGGAGCCAACTCATAGCTGACCCTCCAGCGAATTTCAGAGGCTGTAAATCCCATGGAAGGAGATTGCCCATCTTTCTCTCAGAGCAGCTAATCCATTTTAATTGCCTGCCTTTGGGTTGGTGGTACAGTGTCCCATCCACTAGGCCACCCGAGCTCCCATCATCACTAACTATTTTATAAAGTAATTTGCTCTATTAAGAGAACTCCGTAGTCCATAGGAAGTTCTGTATCCTAAACTTGACACCTCTCTGGCACTTCATATTCACCAGCAGCTCCAGAGGAGTAAAGCTCCCTTGTGATTTACAGCCTCTGAAACCCGCTAGAGCATCAGCTATGAGTTAACAACATGATGGCAATGAGCTGAGTTTTTCCTTGTTGTTGTTGTTATGTGCTATTAAGTCACTTACGACTCATAGCGACCCTATGTACAACAGCCCTAAACTCTGCTCTGTCCTGGGCCAGTCTCACTGTCTCTGACACACCCATCCCGATTACCCCAGTCACTGAATCAATCCACCTCCTAGAGGGCCTTCCCCTCCTGCGCTGTCCCACCCTTCCAAGCATGAATTTTTCTAGCCAAATGATTGCAAAAGTCAAGCATAGGATCATAAATTTATTAATTTTTGGTATGTAAAGAATCATCACCATATCAGCTGAATTTGAGCTGCGGTAAATGTTGGAATTATCTTTGAAGCTAGTCAGATGTTCAGGACTGCCTCTTCTTCACCAGTTCCAGCACATGACCAGCACTGTTGATTGCCGATGCTGTTTGAGGTCTCCTCCCGCTGCCCTGAGGACACTACATTAGTGAACAAATTAATGAACAAAAAGATGCAGAGTCAGCCGCCTTAGCTGACTGTTTTACTTGACGGTGGTGATTCCAGATGTTTACCAAAAATCCTCGTGATGTTTGAAAGGGAATTTACTCTATGACTGAGGTTATGAGGATTTATTTGGGGCTGTGTTGTTTGGCTTATCTGGTTGATATGTACATTTGAAAGGAAACAGTGATGTGTGGGCAGCTCCAGTGGCCATAGATAGCACCTCTGCAGGTCAAAGTGAAGCAGAGTTCATCCAGGTGTCCTGGCCACAGGTGAGTGTGGAGTTGGGGGTGGTGTGTGCTGCCATCTTCTGGCTGTAGTTTGGAATTCGGAATTTCTCAGGGGCAGTTCCTTCCACGTTGGGACTTCTTTAGAAAATGGAAAGAATTGGCTAACATTGCTGCATTTAGAAATGTTAGGATTACGTGGGTAATCTTACCTTATTATTAACATTTATTCTGTGTTTAGATTTAAGAGAGCATTGAGATAAAGATGAGAGACCCCTAGGAAATTAGAAACCTGACTGTATGATCTCGGATTAGCCTTCCGGGAGCCTCTGGAGGGAAGGACAGAGAAATCCTGGCATGTGGCAGGAGTCCCAGATGGAATCCCTATATTGTGCGCTTGGCTCACAAGCTGGCAGTTGGCAGGATTTGATGGGGAAATTCAATACTACGCGAGATGAGTCCAACTTCTGGCAGGAAATTGATGGCATTTCCTTTTATGTGTCAACTTAGCACCTCTCTGGAAAAGGAGTCCTGCCTGCATGGTGGGCTGATTATTCAGTTGCTAAATGAAAGGTCTGGAGTGCAAATGCTCCCAGCCACCTTGCAGGAGAAGGAGGAGGCAGTCTACTTCTGTTAAGATTTACAGCTCCAGTAACACAATGGAGAATAGCCACGAGTCAGAATTGATCAGATGGCTATGGCTCTGGTTTTTATTTTATATATAACAATATTAAGTACTTCACTGGTTTTGCAACCCTAGAGAACCCAGCTCAAGACATTAGGTACTTCAAAGTGCGCTGTTCGAATTCACCAGATGCTATGCTGGAGAAGAAGGGACGATCTCCTCCTGTGCCAGTCAGATCTGATTGGCCAGCACATAGCAAGAAAAGGGAAAAAAAAGACTAGGTACTGAGAGTGGGGTTCTGGAGAAACGAAATCATGAGAGTGAGGTTTCGAAATTGATCTACAGTCGTACTAGTCTTAAAAAGCGCTGATGACTGTCTCCACCAGTAAAGAGGAATCTGCTAGTCTCTGATGTGAGATGACAATATTAGTGTTGGAAATATATTACGTTTTGGTGAGAAGCAAGCCTCTGTGTGATTTTTGTCAGCATGAAAAGTATATGGAGCTGGTTAATTAACTACTTAAACTAGACAAAATAGTGAGAGAAAGATGAGCTCAAGGTTTTGGTCTCTGCTTCTACATGGTATAAAAGCCAACAGTTTCCTACTGTGGATTGAAATAAAGCCTTATCATTTTGTAGTAACAGTCCTAAAATTGGACATCCCAGCAGCACCCCATCATTAAATGGCATATACAAGATTGGACTTGAATAGGACCTGAAGGCATACATTATATGAGGAAGGGGTCCAAAGGCTCCTGGTCTCCAGTCCT